ACTAACTCACTAAGTTCATTTGCATTTACAAATAACCAAACCATAGGCACTTACAAAAAAAGCAAATACTAACCCTTAGAAATAGGTTCTGATATCATTTACGCATTTTCTTGTCCTGGCTTTAATGCCAGGTATGCTGGATCAACCTTACGTTGGTTAAAGCACCGTATTTTAGAACATTTGGGAAGTTTGTAAGATCTGGCTTTCCCCTCAGTAAACCAGCTTTCTCTGTGAACACACCAACAAAGATTTTGCATTCCGTGTACTACTTCCAACAGAAATGTCCTCCTAGTTTCAGAATCCTTGTCCATACACAGGAAGCAGCCAGAGCTGGAGTGCATGCAGTCTAACCATCTAACAAGTCATTTTGCCCTTCAAAGTTTCTTTTTTCTCGTTTGATTGTTGTTGCACCTTTATTTTCGACTGTATATATTCATTAATACAAGTGTTTATAATTCCATTATTGATTTAATTTTACATTAAGATATTCTGTGCGTATTATGTTTGCATTATTGCGATTTTTAACTTCTTTACTTTAACTGTTCTTGTAGTCTTGTAATCAAATACTATATATGTGTGTGTGTGTGTGCAGATATATATACATATATATGTACACACTGACACAAATATATATATTTATATATACATGTGTATGTCTGTGTGTTTGCTTGTATATATATATACGCAAGCAAGCACACACATGCACATGTATATATACATGCATACATACATGTACATATACATATATTTACATATGTATATATGTGTGTAAACACAAACACACACACACATATATACATATATATGTATTAATATATGTGTGTTATGTATGTATATATATGTATACTTACAATATATATATTTATATATATATATATATTCATATATATTTATATATATACGTAAATACAAACATACATACACACATATGCATGTTCATGTACATATGTGCATATATTTATATGTATGTGTGTGTCACACACACACACGCACACACGCGCGCGGTTGGGGGTGGGGGGATTGCAATAAATCTGTTAATATATAAGATATTAGGATAGGCATAAGCTGGCTGATTGACTGTGATCAAATCTTTAAGGCGGATAGATTGGCAGAGTGGTATAGTACATGACCAGCTCAGAGAAGATATTAAAAACACAAAATATATGTGAGACTGGTATCTTTTTCCAAACTCAGAACATATGACATGTTTTAGATAGTATATCAGCCTTATTTCAGCCTTCAGCTTACTTCCAAAAAAAATTCAGGTGATATAATATTACTTAATAATGGGTGATCGTATAACGAATATAAAAATACATATATCAAATGTTATACATGTATATGTTTATGCATATATATATATATATATATATATATATATATATATATATATACTTATATACATATAAGTATATATGTATATGTATGTATATATGTATATATGTATATATGTGTGTGTGTGTGTGTGCACTATATATGTGTGTATATATATATATATATTATCAGACCAATGCTCCTATCCTGTCCTTCCGTTTAACTCTTTGAAAGCCTTTTCGAATTTCCATTAAGAGCGACATCGTAATATTAATTTTTTCGGTAAAAAATCGTTACGACATGCCATCAAAGATATGCCAATAAAAATCTATTACTCTTGAAATAACTTCTTCATCTAACCCTACAGCGCCCTCCCAAGATGAAAATGAGATTGATACAAAGTCATTCCTTATTTTCAGAAATTTGTTCCCTTCCCGAGTTGTTAATCCTTTAGGGAAAAAAACGCGTTGATATGATTGACTAAAATTAACTCCTTGTTCTGTATATTCTTATTCTTTTCCATCATATTTTGTTACTGTTATCTGTGTTATATCAGTTGTTGCACGTGTAACAAGCCCAGTGCGATTTCTTTGCTGATCAGGACACTACACATGTTTCCTTTCATGACCATACAATAATCTCGTGTGTTTTACGTGCGTTGACCACATGTGAGAAAAATAAAGCACTTGTTATGACATTTTTCCATCGTCTCTGATTCTTTTACCTGAAAAGTCAAGATGTTGCTTATTGCGTGTTGAGTGAAGTGTGAGCTGGAGCGGCACACTCTGGAAGACGTTTAAAGCAATACATTCCTGACAGCAATTACCTTCTGCCAATAAATAATAGTTATGTTTAAAACTTTGACGCTGTACACCTGTGTCGTTTATTTCTCTCGAGACCACCTTTCATCACGTTTAACTCTGAGCCACAGTTGTCGACAAGCCCTAGCTCCGGACGGAAGTGCAGAGCGCCATGGTTCCGAGGGGCGTCCTGTTGCTGGCGGTGTCGGCGATTTGGCTGAGTGGGTGTGTTCGCCCAGCGGCGTCGGTAGGATCCCTTTTCTTCTCATTGTTGGCGACCGATCTCAGCTTGCGTTTTCAAGTCATTATATGCTGTAGTCATTATGTATATTTATATGCTGTAAGACTTATGTATATTTGGTTTTGTTTAACTGATCGTTTATACTGAGCATCATCGGAAGCACATACACACATACAGATATTTATATCTATATAGAAAAATATGTATATATACATATATATATATGCATATACACGTGTGTGTGTATATATATATACATACATATACATTTGCGCGTTTACATATACATGTGTGTGTATGTGTGTGCGTGGAACATTGCCACAGTAACAGCAAAATTAATACAGGACGTTTCGTCTAGCATTCCTTATCAGACATAGTAAAATGCAAAAACTAATATTTGCCAACATACAATAGAAGACAAACACTGAATCAGGTCTCGTGAGGAAGGTCAAGGTAAAACCGTCCTAGTGAATTTGTAACAACTATTAACGGTGTAATGTCATCACTAACTGGTACACTGGTTAAGACTAGGTAATACCCCAATGTAAAGGTGCTTCCAACAGTTTTCTTTCATATGAATTTGAAGATTTATGAACTAATTTAGCATCCTTCCAATTGAGCAAATGTGCTTCATCGTGGAAGTGGATTCAAGATCTCTTCCAGTTTCGCCAATGAAACATTCAGCATTCTTTAAACGGAAACGAATAAATACTAGAGGAAGCAATAAGGGTACTGTTTGACACACTGTGCTTCACCGAAGCTTACTAGTTACGATTTACATTTAGTACAACACAGATTTCAGAATCGGATGTCTTTTCATTGTCAGTGAGTCGTTTACATGATATTGCACTCGATGGTAAAAACAGGATGGATACTGTATGCTGTAAAAAAGTTGCCTTAATAATCTGCTTCGCTCCCTAGACTGAAATAGATCTATATGACACTTACAGAGTTTTCTTTTTCTATGGTGTTTAAAATCACGGTATCATCCTCATCTTCATCCATATACTTTCAAAGGTTCCTGTTAATTCTTTTAGCAGTTCCTAGAAGTAAAATTTGTAAATATTCTATAAGACAAAGGCTAGTGCTTCCCTCCTTGCGACAGTTTCATGTTTGCGGATCCGAAATTAATACCCTTTTTTAGTGTAGAATTTAATCAGCTTTTGAATACCTTTACCTGACGATATTTTTTTTTCCTTTAGATTAATATTAGTACTTGACATCTCAATATCCTCTATTACTGAGATTAGAGGATCTTTTCTACTTCCTGTTTCCTTTCTGCTTGGATAAGTAAAATGTTCCTCTACGATTTAGAAAGGAAAAATAGATATACATACAAACACTCTCATTTGAAGAAAACAAAGTCTTGTTTGATTTTTTTTCGAAAAGTCATCCTCTCCCACCAGATCCCCACGGTTTGATATTTGGACAGAGAACAGTTAAATAAACATTTGTTTTTGATGATCGTGTCTCGCTCTACTGACATCATATTGAATCGATATAAGTCAAAATGAATTGATGAATGAAAAAATAAAGTCAAATCCAGCTGGCCACGATAAATGAAAAATATAAGACTAAGAAGGAATGTTCTCCTTCAATAGAGTCCTGGCGGATATACACGAACAGAATTCATTGTGGTAAGTGTAGATGAACTTTTTTGAACGCTTCCCGACGCACAAGTGAGACGCATTGATTATTATTTTCATTTACGAGATGGTCTAATCGAAATGAATAAATGCCATTCGTTGTCTTCTTATGTCTGAGGGATGATTATAATCAAACTGGCTCGCGTAAGTTCAATGTTTACAAGCACGTTTGGTTGCAATAGAAGTACTGTCCTCGATCATTATTGATTTCTAATCGATATATTCAGCCATTACTGATGTTATATAGCTCATGGTTGCTTTGCATAATTCCTTTTCATGTCGAACGGGGCTGTTAAGGGCATTGAATGCAGTAGGAAAATTGGACGCTGCGTTCCCGAGAGGCGCTGCAGCCAGACCGTGCCCAATGCTGCATGTGACAAAGATGGACACGTATGTTGCAAAAGAGATTCCGGTAAGTGGACACGGACGTTTCTGAGTAAAAGTCGATGCACGTTCCCCTTTTGTCTGGACAGAAAGTTACACACAAACACAAACGCACACACACATTATATATATGTCATATATATGTATATATGTACATATACATATAGTATGTATATATATGCATATATATATATTATATATATTGTGTGTGTGTGCATATATGCATATGAATATATTTATATATATATATATATATATGTACACACATACATTCAGATGTATGGAAATTATATGTGTGTGTGGGTATGTACATATACACACACATGTTCATATATATGCATATGCATACACATATTTGTGTGTGTGTGTGTGTGTGTGCCCATACTGTATACATATATATACATGTACATATATACATTATAAGTTTGTATATCTCCAGTTGTAGGCCGAAGAAAACCCAAGTTCAGAAAAAACAAAGGAGGTCAGGGAAACCAAGCTAAAATGATGAAAAACGAAATAAATGAAAAAGAACAGAAAGGAAATAGTAAACGAAGACCTGAGGAAACAGGCGACAAGAAAACCTCTCGAAGAAATGGGAAGAAACGTGTCGGAGCGAAAATACAAATTCCTGATAAGAAAAGGACTGGAAAACAAGGTAAATATGTAACTGCTGGGTGCATTCTTTATATCAAAATATGCATATATATATATATATATATTCATCTATGTACTACATATATAATATATATATATTATATATTGTATATGTATATATATAAATATATATATGCATACACACGTACATATATATGTACACACATATAAATATATATATATATGTGTGTGTGTGTGTTTGTGCATTAGACGCCCATTTTTTTAATGTATAAAAAAATGTCCTACGTTTAATGCGGCCGTATTACGAACGGGAGCCCGAGCGCCGTAGGCTAGGGAGCACACTGGGTAAGTTCATAGACATTAAACTGTGTTACTAATAATAAAGTACTACAACAAGCCGAATTAGCACAGTCTGTTATCAAAAGCTTACAAATGTATATAAATATATATATATATATATATGCATGTATGTATATACATACACACATATATGCGTGTGTGTGTGTGTATGCGTACGTATAATAATAATAATAATCGGTTCATTGATTCTCATGCAGCCAGGAGCTGAAAATATACATAGTAATAGAGAAAACAGACAAACTACACATATATGGGGGGGGGGGTGCTGTTCATTGACTCGTTAATAATAAGTCGGACTATAGTGGGTATTATGCTCCAGTGGTAGCGGTCAGTGAGGGCCTGATGGGCACCAGTTTGCTGGCGGCGCGTAGGGCTCGGCGAGGCGGAGGAGGAGCCTCGGGGGCAGCAGGTCGCGGTGACGTAGATGGCACAGCACACACACACACACATATGTATGTATGTGTATGTATGTATCCATATTTATATGTATATATACATATATATATTTAAATATATACAAATTTATGATTATGTGTGATTATATGTATATATACATATATATATGCATATGTATATATATACTCTATGTATGCATAAATATGTATATACATAATTATATAAACAATACATATGATGTGTATATTTATATAGCGTATATACATATATACATCTATATATATATACATATATATAGTATGTATATATGTATATAAATATATATTATGCATATAGAATGTATATATAAATCATATACAAATATATGTATATCCATCTATATGTCGACATCGTTACTAATGCGACATTTAAATGGGGCACTACTTACAATTGTAGATATTATCCTGGCCATGTGTTTATTTACATGGCCCCAATGCTATCGCTTCCGAGCGGATTTCCAAAAGGGGCAAATGAAGCGGTTGAGTAGTGTAGTGTATAAGTTGAGAATAGTAAGTTAGAAAATGTGATTGCAGAGAAGAGATTAACAAAAGTGTTGTAGCTGCAAGAGTCTCCATAAGAAAATTGTTTTTGATTAAAGTGTATCAAAAGTAGTAAGCAGGGTTAGAATTAGTAAATGCTATAATTATTTTGTTTGATTTTCTATACAAATGAGAATTACTTTTACTGACGGATGTTTCTATTTACTTCCTGCGTATTGATTTCTCTCTCAGTTATGAGTCTTGTATACACACACATATATATATTTTTGTTGTTGTTTTTTCACTAATATTTACTATATTAATATCTTTCGAAGGGGGGACACATGTCGAGATCGCCATCTAAAAGGTGCATTGGTTACAATTGTAAAAATGTCTAAACCTCATCAAAATGTTTAATCGTTATTTTGAAAACCTATTAATAGAACAAAATTTAGTTTCAAAGTTAATAGAGTAAATTGTAATAATCATTATAGTTTTGCTTAAATATTCATATTTCCTATTTCAATAGGTGGAGGGTAATCAGCAGTTTTGCCACTACCTCCAATGTCAGACGAGTTTGTTGCTTATTCCCTCGTGCAGAGAAAGGAAAGGTTAGGAAAAGTTCGTGGTGAGAATAAATACATCATGATTCCGTCAGCCCAATCTCCGTTTTTTTCTTCTTTTTTTTCCCTCTCTCTTTGCGTGGATACAGTGGAATTAGTCAAGGGAGACAAATCCGACTGTGTCAAGGACGAATTGAAATAGGAACAATAGATCAAAGTAAAGTGTAGGATTGATTACTTTTTCCTACAATGAAAAAAAATAACTGGAAATACCGGCGACTAAATTGGGGAATAAATTCTATCCACCCCATGAGCCTCAAGACCGTGCAACCATGCTACTCAAATTAAAATCAGGTAAGTCAAAATAGGGATTTCTCAGGATTTCCTTAAACTCCAAACCCCCAGGTGGTGACGGCAATACCGAGGTAATATAATAATTTGCCTTAGAATTGATCTTGACAAATTGTCAGTAGTATTTTAGTTTCTTTTTTTTAGAGAAAATCGCGATACACACATATTTATATGTGTGTGTATATAAATGTGTGTATGTATATATCTATATGCATAAATATATGCATATATTATGATATATTATGTCATCACTAGCTTATGTTCTCTGTTCAAAGCAATACAAACATCCCTAAATCTTTATCTTTTCTGATTTTCCAAAGGTTCCATAAAATGTACGAAGGAGTATGGAAGATGTAGGTCTAAATGTCGCGGTGATATTGATAAAGAAAGAGCGTGTCCCAACGGCAAAGTGTGCTGTAGAAAGCGAAGAACTCGGAACCAAGCTATAGTTAAGGCAAAAAACAATGCCTGCACAGGAGCAGGAGGAGTTTGCAAGAAACCTAACAAAAAGTGCAAACAGCCTCTTTCCTTTGAGTGTCCGAACAAAGATAGAATCTGCTGCAAGAAAACCAACAAGTGCACATCGAATGGCTTCAAATGTGTACAAAAATGTAGAGGAACGACCAAGCAATTCAATGGTTGTAAGCAAGGAAAAGTCTGCTGCAAGCAAGCAAAAGAAATGACCTGCAAACAAATAGGCGGAAACTGTAAAGAAGAAGCAAAATGCAAAACGGAAATCCTAAATCCCGACAAGAAATGCAAAGATGCAAAGGTTTGTTGCAAACAAGGAAATAATTGCCAAGCCCTAGGAGCTACATGTCGAAAGGAAGCCAAATGCAACAGGAAAATATTGAATCCCTCTGTACCATGCAAGACTGGCAAAGTCTGTTGTGAAAAAGGAAATAAATGCAAAGATCTAAAAGGTACATGTCGAGAGGAAGCCAAATGTGACGGGAAAATATTGACTCCCTCTATACCATGTAAGGATGGTAAAGCCTGTTGTGAAAAGGGAAATAGATGCAAAGATCTAAAAGGTACATGTCGAGAGGAAGCCAAATGCGACGGGAAAATATTGACTCCCTCTATACCATGTAAGGATGGTAAAGCCTGTTGTGAAAAGGGAAATAGATGCAAAGATCTAAAAGGTACATGTCGAGAGGAAGCCAAATGCGACGGGAAAATATTGACTCCCTCTATACCATGTAAGGATGGTAAAGCCTGTTGTGAAAAGGGAAATAAATGCAAAGATCTAAAAGGTACATGTCGAGAGGAAGCCAAATGCGACGGGAAAATATTGACTCCCTCTATACCATGTAAGGATGGTAAAGCCTGTTGTGAAAAGGGAAATAAATGCAAAGATCTAAAAGGTACATGTCGAGAGGAAGCCAAATGCGACGGGAAAATATTGACTCCCTCTATACCATGTAAGGATGGTAAAGCCTGTTGTGAAAAGGGAAATAAATGCAAAGATCTCAAAGGTACATGTCGAGAGGAAGCCAAATGCAGCGGGAAAATATTGACTCCCTCTATACCATGTAAGGATGGTAAAGCCTGTTGTGAAAAGGAAACAACTTGTAAATCGTTGAACGGACTGTGTAAACAGGAAGCTGAATGTGAAAGCAAAGTGTTAAGTCCCAGCAAGGAGTGCAATGCTGGTAAGGTATGCTGCTTAGTCCGTACCTGTAGCGACAGAGGAGGGAAGTGTAAGAAAGAAGGAAATTGCAACGGCAGAATCGTCACGGTGAAGAAGCCATGTACAGAATCCAAAGTCTGTTGTCTAGGTAAGTAAAACAAAATCACGTAAAGTACAGACCTACACGCATTTATGCATTTACTTTACCGGACAGATTAGTTTGTCCTGTGTATATACACATATCTGTAAAGTTCCATCAATTTTATTGATTTATTGCAGTATTGTAGATTTAAACACCGCTACAATATGAACAAAATAAAAGTGTAACGTTTCGAACTCGACAAAAGCAGTAAACGCGAAATGGATGAACTGTTTCATTTCAATTTTTGCTAAAGATCAAATCGTAACTGGTGCGAAACGTTATAGTTATTTCGTTCATTTTGTAGCAGTGTTTCTTCCCGTCTCTGTGTACTTTGTGTGTTCATTATGATTATCATGACTATAATAATGATGAAATACGAATATCAATAATGCCATTAACAATGATGATAACATTAAAATAAAAATACAAAAAAGGTACTGGCAATGAGACCGTAAATGAAGTTAAAGACATTATGAACTAGATCCCATTAATAACAATTAAATTGAAGAAATAAAAGAAGAATCGACATCTTCAGCACATTAGACAAAAAAAAAAAAAAAAAAAAAATCTTACATTGAAATGTATTTCTATGATGATTTTGGTAATGATATGTATCACTGATAGTCTTTGTTCAATTACCAGAGAAAAATAACCAAAGCACCACGATCACTCCGACACTTGGACCACAACCACAAACCACCGCTGGACCGCAACCGCAAACCACCCCTGGAACGCAACCACAAACCACGTCTGGACCGCAGCCTCAAACCTCTCCTGGACCGCAACCACAAACCACCGCTGGGCCGCAACCGCAAACCACCCCTAGACCGCAACCACAAACCACCCCTGGAGCACAACCACAAACCACCCCTGGACCGCAACCACAAACCTCTCCTGGACCGCAACCACAAACCACCCCTGGACCACAACCGCAAACCACCCCTGGACCGCAACCGCAAACCACCGCTGGACCGCAACCACAAACCTCTCCTGGACCGCAACCACAAACCACCCCTCGACCACAACCACAAACCACCCCTGGACCGCAACCACAAACCACCCCTGGACCGCAACCACAAACCACCCCTGGACCGCAACCACAAACCACCCCTCGACCACAACCACAAACCACCCTTGGACCGCAACCACAAACCACCCCTGGACCGCAACCACAAACCACCCCTGGACCTCAACCACAAACCACCCCTGGACCGCAACCACAAACCACCCCTGGACCACAACCACAAACCTCTCCTGGACCGCAACCACAAACCTCTCCTGGACCGCAACCACAAACCACCCCTGGACCACAACCACAACCACAAACCACCCCTGGACCACAACCACAAACCACCCCTGAACCACAACCACAAACCACCCCTGGACCACAACCACAAACCACCCCTGGACCACAACCACAAACCACCCCTGGACCGCAACCACAAACCACCCCTGGACCACAACCACAAACTTCTCCTGGACCGCAACCACAAACTTCTCCTGGACCACAACCACAAACCACCCCTGGACCACAACCACAAACCACCCCTGAACCACAACCACAAACCACCGATGGACCGCAACCACAAACCACCGCTGGACCGCAACCACAAACTTCTCCTGGACCGCAACCACAAACCACCCCTGGACCACAACCACAAACCACCGCTGGACCACAACCACAAACCACCCCTGGACCGCAACCACAAACCACTACAACTTCCACTACAACTACTGCAGATACAACAACGATTGCAGACACAATAGATACAACTACTGCAGATACAACCACTTCAGATTCGACTGCAGATACAACTGCCGCAGATGCGACTGCAGATACAACAACTACCGCAGATACAACAACGACTGCAGATACAACAACTACTGCAGATACAACGACTGCAGATACAACAACTACTGCAGATACAACGACTGCAGATACAACTACTGCAGATATAACTACTACAGATATAACAACTACTGTAGATGCAACAACTGCAGATACAACAACTACTGCAGATACAACGACTACCACAGATACAATTACCGCAGATACAACAACTACTGCAGATACAACAACGACTGCAGATACAACAACTGCCGCAGGTACAACTACTACAGATTTAACAACTACTGCAGATACAACGACTGCAGATACAACAATTACTGCAGATACAACGACTGCAGATACAACAACGACTGTAGATACAACAACTACTACAGATATAACAACTACCGCAGATACAACTACCGCAGATACAACGACTGCAGATACAACAACTGCCGCAGATACAACGACTGCAGATACAACGACTGTAGATACAACAACTACTACAGATATAACAACTACCGCAGATACAACAACTACTGCAGATACAACAACTACTGCAGATACAACAACTATTGCAGATACAACGACTACCGCAGATACAACTACTACAGATATAACAACAACTGCAGATACAACAACTACTGCAGATACAACAACTACTGCAGATACAACAACTATTGCAGATACAACGACTACCGCAGATACAACTACTACAGATATAACAACTACTGCAGATGCAACGACTGCAGATACGACTGCAGATACAACAACTACTACAGATATAACAACTACCGCAGATACAACGACTGCAGATACAACGACTGCAGATACAATAACTACTGCAAATACAACGACTGCAGATACAACGACTGCAGATACAACAACTGCCGCAGATACAACGACTGCAGATACAACGACTGTAGATACAACAACTACTACAGATATAACAACTACCGCAGATACAACTGCTACAGATATAACAACAACTGCAGATACAACAACTACTGCAGATACAACAACTACTACAGATATAACAACTACTGCAGATACAACGACTGCAGATACAACAACTGCTGCAGATACAACGACTGTAGATACAACAACTACTACAGATATAACAACTACTGCAGATACAACTACTACAGATATAACAACTACTGCAGATACAACGACTGCAGATACAACAACTACTGCAGATACAACAACTACTGCAGATACGACGACTACTACAGATATAACAACGACTGCAGATACAACAACTACTACAGATATAACAACTACTGCAGATACAACGACTGCAGATACAACAACGATTGTGGATACAACAACTACTACAGATATAACAACTACCGCAGATACAACGACTGTAGATACAACAACTACTACAGATATAACAACTACCGCAGATACAACTGCTACAGATATAACAACAACTGCAGATACAACAACTACTGCAGATACAACGACTGCAGATACAACGACTGCAGATACAACAACTGCTGCAGATACAACGACTGCAGATACAACGACTGTAGATACAACAACTACTACAGATATAACAACTACTGCAGATACAACTACTACAGATATAACAACTACTGCAGATACAACAATTACTGCAGATACAACAACTACTGCAGATACAACAACTACTGCAGATACAACAACTACTACAGATACAACGACTACCGCAGATACAACTACTACAGATACAATAACTACTGCAGATACAACGACTGCAGATACAACAACTGCCGCAAATACAATGACTGCAGATACAACGACTGTAGATACAACAACTACTACAGATATAACAACTACCGCAGACACAACTACTACAGATATAACAACGACTGCAGATACAACTACTACAGATACAACGACTGCAGATACAACAACTGCCGCAGATACAACGACTGCAGATACAACAACGACTGCAGATACAACTACTACAGATATAACAATTACTGCAGATACAACGACTGCAGATACAACAACTGCTGCAGATGAAACTACAGATATTACAACTACTGCAGATACAACGACTACAGATACAACAACTACTGCAGATACGACTGCAGATACAACAACTATTGTAGATACAACGACTACCGCAGATACAACGACTGCAGATGCAACAACGACTGCAGATGCAACAACGACTGCAGATGCAACAACGACTGCAGATACAACGACTGCAGATGCAACAACGACTGTAGATACAACTACTACAGATATAACAACTACCGCAGATACAACTGCTACAGATATAACAACGACTACAGATACAACTACTACAGATACAATGACTGCAGATACAACAACTACTGCAGATACAACGACTGCAGATACAACAACTACTGCAGATACAACGACTGCAGATACAACAACTACTGCAGACACAACAACTTCCGCAGATACAACGACTACTGCAGCCACAACTACAACCGTACCTATCACCACTAGTGCCATAAACGTAGCTACAAGACTTCTTGAGCTTACAAACATCGACCCGGTTTTGGAGGATCTGGGAGCGGCCCTGGACGAGGCCAGCGACAGACTCAGCACCGTCGACAGCACGGGCCGGAGGAGAGTTCGGAGGGCGGCCGGTGATACCTCTACAACTGATGCCTCTACAACTGATGCCACCACAACTGATGCCTCTACAACTGATGCCTCTACAACTGATGCCACCACAACTGATGCCTCTACAACTGATGCCACCACAACTGATGCCACCACAACTGATGCCTCTACAACTGATGCCACCACAACTGATGCCACCACAACTGATGCCTCTACAACTGATGCCTCTACAACTGATGCCACCACAACTGATGCCACCACAACTGATGCCACTACAACTGATGCCACTACAACTGATGCCACTACAACTGATGCCACAACAACTGATGCCACCACAACTGATGCCACCACAACTGATGCCTCTACAACTGATGCTACCACAACTGATGCCACCACAACTGATGCCACTACAACTGATGCCACTACAACTGATGCCACTACAACTGATGCCACTACAACTGATGCCACTACAACTGATGTCACTACAACCGATGCCACTACAACTGATGTCACCACAACTGATGCCACTACAACTGATGCCACTACAACCGATGCCACTACAACTGATGCCACATCTGATGCCACCACAACCGATGCCACTACAACGGATGCCACTACAGCTGATGCCACCACAACCGATGCAACTACAACTGATGCCACAACAACTGATGCCACTACAACGGATGACACTACAACTGATGCCACAACAACTGATGCCACAACAACTGATGCCACCACAACTGATGCCACCACAACTGATGCCTCTACAACTGATGCCACCACGACTGATGCCTCTACAACCGATGCCACCACAACTGATGCCTCTACAATTGATGTCACTACAACTGAAGCCTCTACAACTGATGCCACCACAACTGATGCCTCTACAACTGATGCCACCACAACTGATGCCTCTACAACTGATGCCACTACAACTGATACCTCTACAACTGATGGCACCACAACTGATGCCTCTACAACTGATGCCACCACAACTGATGCCTCTACAACTGATGCCACCACAACTGATGCCTCTACAACTGATGCCTCTACAACTGATGCCACCACAACTGATGCCTCTACAACTGATGCCACCACAACTGATGCCTCTACAACTGATGCCACCACAACTGATGCCTCTACAACTGATGCTACCACAACTGATGCCACCACAACTGATGCCACCACAACTGATGCCACTACAACTGATGCCATTACAACTGATGCCACAACAACTGATGCCACTACAACTGATGTCACTACAACCGATGCCACTACAACTGATGCCACCACAACTGATGCCACTACAACTGATGCCACTACAACCGATGCCACTACAACTGATGCCACAACATCTGATGCCACCACAACCGATGCCACTACAACGGATGCCACTACAGCTGATGCCACCACAACCGATGCCACTACAACTGATGCCACAACAACTGATGCCACTACAACGGATGACACTACAACTGATGCCACAACAACTGATGCCACCACAACCGATGCCACTACAACTGATGCCACCACAACTGATGCCACTACAACCGATGCTACTACAACTGATGCCACAACTGATGCCACTACAACCGATGCTACTACAACTGATGCCACAACAACTGATGCCACTACAACTGATGCCACCACAACTGATGCCACTACGACTGATATCACTACAACTGATGCCACTACAACTGATGCCACCACAACTGATGCCACCACGACTGATGTCACCACAACTGATGCCACCACGACTGATGCCTCTACAACTGATGCCACCACGACTGATGTCACTACAACTGATGCCACCACAACTGATGCCACAACAACTGATGCCACCACAACTGATGCCACCACGACTGATATCACTACAACTGATGTCACTACAACTGATGTCACCACGACTGATGTCACTACAACTGATGCCACTACAACTGATGCCACCACGACTGATGCCACTACAACTGATGCCACCACGACTGATGCCACCACAACTGATGCCACCACGACTGATATCACTACAACTGATGTCACTACAACTGATGTCACTACAACTGATACCACTACAACTGATGCCACTACAACTGATGCCACCACGACTGATGCCACCACAACTGACGCCACCACGACTGATGCCACCACAACTGATGTCACTACAACTGATGCCACTACAACTGATGTCACTACAACTGATGCCACTACAACTGATGCCACCACGACTGATGCCACCACAACTGATGCCACCACAACTGATATCACTACAACTGATGTCACTACAACGGATGCCACTACAACTGATGCCACCACGACTGATGTCACCACAACTGATGCCACCACAACTGATGTCACTACAACTGATGCCACCACAACTGATGTCACTACAACTGATGCCACCACAACTGATGTCACTACAACTGATGCCACTACAACTGATGTCACCACAACTGATGCCACCATAACTGATGCCACCACAACTGATGCCACTACAGCTGATGCCACTACAACTGATGCCACTACAACTGATGCCACTACAACCGATACCACTACAACCGATGCCACCACAACCGATGCCACTTCAACTGATGTCACCACAACCGATGCAACTACAACGGATGTCACCACAACCGATGCAACTACAACGGATGTCACCACAACCGATGCAACTACAACGGATGTCACCACAACCGATGCCACTACGGCAGATTCCACAACCACGGGTTCCACATCTGAATCAACCACAAGCGACTCCACAGCCTCCGGCCCCAGCACAACACCGTCTCAGGACCGAATCGACGCCGAAGACTTGCTCACCACGTTCATCCAGCTTCTCGGCAACCTCGAAGCCTCTGTCGACGACGAAAACACCTCACAGATGACCGACGGCACCATCACCGTCAGAAGCATCATATTCGACTTCGACAGCCTGATCAATGAGATTGAGCAAACGGGGAAGAGGCTCACGGACGGAACCAGGGCGATTCTGCCGCAAGCTCGAGGCGACACACAGCAGCTGCTGGACAAGATCAGAAACGTCCGCATAGCTATTCGAGAGGAGATTGATCAGCTGAATCCATTAGCTGAAAATACAGTTACCCTGCCCACATTGGCACCTTAAAGGATAAAATAAAGCGACTCATATAAACTGTATGTTTGTGTATATCAGACTGAATACTACGATATTCACGAATTTCAGACTGAAATGATATACTGTCATTCATTATGATTACTTATTAATTACTTATTTTTAAAATCCCATCTAATTACTGAGCTTATTTTTGTCAACACATTGTGATCCCACTAACTTGTCAAGACAAGATCAAATGTAACGTCAAAGCCGAAGAACTACTGTGTTTGCTGCAAATCAGACTTGCATCTAACATAAAATAAAAATCTGAAATTATATTGCTTTTTTTATGCTAATCTTTTAAAATGCTTATGATGAAAGTTTTACTACTTAACCTTTGAAGGAGAGATACGTATGGGTATTAATTAACGGTATTAATTAGTAGCATAACTTTAAAGGGCCTTCTACACTAGTAATACAACTACCCAGAAAATAGTGGTCGCAAATGCAAAACATGTGCCGTCGTTCTGACTAAAATATCCACCGACTCATTATACAAATGTCCCTTCTTATATAGACTGTCCAAAATGTGAAAATGTGCACATATATTTAAGTGACCAGATTACATAAATACATATATATGTGTATGTATTAAAAAAAACAAAAAAACTCACCACACAGGAACGTAAAATTAAAAGTCACATGGAAATTGAGCAAACATAAATAGATAGATAAACACACACACACACATATAAGTATATATACATAGATATATATACATATATTATATATTTATGTATATATGTATTTATATATTTTTTCATATATCTAAATATATATATGTATATATACATATTTAGATATAGATTTGTGAAAAATAAACATATACCTTTTCTACATTTGTCAACATGAATACGGTTCACACACACACACATATATGTGTGTGTGTGTATGTGTGTGTCCGTGCGTGCGTGTGTGTGTTTGTATAATGTATATGTATATATATGTAAATATATATTTATACATATTCATACACACGCACACACACATGCGTACACACGCACACACACACAATATATATATATATGCATATACATATAAATGCACGCATACACACACACACATATGTATATTTATATATATATGTATATACATATATGTGTTTGTGTATTTACACACATACACACACGTATATGTGTGAATGTGTTTACAAATATATAAACATAAATATATTGTATGTATGTATATATAAATATCTATATATATGGTTATATGTATATATAAATATACATACATACGTATGTATATATAAATATAAATATATATGTATGCATTTATGTGTGTATATATATATACAGGCAGAAAGAGCTAAAACGCGAGTGAGTGACAAGAGAATTTTTTTTTTCGTTAATGGCCGCACAGTGTAGTAAACGCACGCCAAGTCAAAGCAGTCTTTATCACTTAGGAGATAAAGTCCAGTGTTCTTTAATCGGTGTCTATCCGATGAGAGGTAATGCAGATTTAGATTCCGCGGCTTAAATGTTTCTTGCAGGAATTTCGGAGTAACTATGAGCAAACCCTGGTTTCTGGCAACCCAGATTGACAACCGAATTTGCCTTTGCATTTCAATGGCCTCACCAATTGGTAGGCCTTCAGATTTCTAGGGAAGCTTCAATTGTGGGAAACATCTATAGGGCCCTGACTCTCCCTCAGAGTTTGTCTCTTGCCTAGGTGGTTTCGAGTCATGGGAGCAGTTGGTTTGGCTGGTCCAGTTTGTGCTCCCATCTCGACTAGGAAAGAAGTCTAAGGGAAGGCAGAAGTCTCCCTGTTTTAAGTGCAGGCCTGGAGAGGCCAGCCTGAGAGTTTTCTGACACTATTTGGTGGAAAGGCATGTTTTGTTTATGGGATTGTTTCTTTACCATGTCCACTCTTGGTAGATCTGGTAAAGTCAGCTTGTGCTTTATTCATGACACTAGAAGCCATAAACAGCTTCAAAGTGACTACTGTCATCAATTTTTTGCAAGGTTCGTCAACTTTTTTGGTCAGATTGTGTGTTTTTCCTTAGCTTTATCTGCCATATGATATAGCACTTTCTTCACCCTCTCATGCTCCCACCCACCAAGGAGTCCAACAAGGTGATGCCATGTTAGAACTCACTATCTAACAGTTACAGAGCTGGTGAGAGGGTATAACCAGCCACTGTACATTATGACCGGCACTCACAGTACCTGTGTGAGGCCAACCACTGACTACTTGACCCTAGCCTCCCTACGGAGACCAAAAGATTGGCCACCCATGTTGCTGGAATAAGGGACCAAAGAGGCATGTTGCTAGCTGTTGGTCATACTCATGCACAGCATTGCTCATCCTCCAAGACTCCCATCTCCACAGTGCACAAGGGTGTCATGCATGGTAAACATGCAGGTAAGTGAACCCCCCTTCCCCTGGAGAGAGAACAGTAGTAATCAGAGGGTTTATCAGCAAACCATGTATACACATGTCCTGCAACAAGAACTGCCCTGTGTGCTGCAGAAACTTAAGCTTTGGGTAATTGGGTGACTGGCTGGCTGGGGAGGGATGACCAAATGGTTCCTACCAAAGATGCTTGACCAAGTCTTTCCCCAGGGACTTTCACCTACCCATGTTTACCGAGCGTAGTACCTTGCCGTGTGCACTGTTGAGACAGGAGTCCTAGATGTTGAGTGATGCTGTGCCTGAGTACATCCTGTGGCTAGCATCACACCTCTTTGTCCCTCTTTGCCTCACTCAAGTCCCATGAGTATCGTTCACTATGGACAGTGGCTGTGTATACTCTCACCACCCACGCAGGTGAGCTTGCATTCTTGTAACTCAACAAGTCCTGGGACAGACTTGGAAGAGATTTGACATAGTTCCCATCCCAAAACCAAAGGAGCCAAGGAGGTATTGCCCCATCTCTCTCCTGAGATGTCTGGGCAAGACAGCCTAGAGGATGGATGAACACCTTCATAGGTTCACAAGCATAGAGCAGAGCCACACTCTTAAGCACAATCAGAACTTTCACATCTGTGGTAATATTCCTAGATCTGGAAACGGTTTTTGAACTAGCAAGTCCTCTTGTTGTTCAGGAGACCCCAATCCAGAAGGGAATCAGTGGAAAACTCTTGGCTTGGATAGGTGACTATTTTGGGAACAATACAGCCAAAGTCAGATTCCAGGGTCACCTGTCACAGCACATGCCCCTAGAAAATGGAATGCCATAGTTCGGCCCTTTTCAACAGCCTAGTGTCCTGCACTTCTACATACACCTCCCCGTGGGGTGCAAAATTATCTCGTATGCAGACAATATTGCAATCATCTTCACTGGCCCACACTGTCTAAAAGGAGCCCAGCACTACCTGGACCTTGTGTCTGAGACTTAGTGATCATAGTACAAGTCTTTGTGTCCAGGGAATGGACCTAGAGTGGTCGACCAGAACCTCTCCTTCCAATGGGAGATCCAGTACCTGCATAACCAAAGGCAAGATTGTCTGTCATGAGAGCAATGACTAAGAGACACATAGGAGCAGTACACAAAGAATTACAATCATTCTATGTACCTACCACCTGTCCCTTTGTGGACTTTTTTTCTGCCACCTTAATAGGTGGACAAAGGTCCTCACAGATGGATCAGTCGGTCCTTAACTCACACTGCAGGTGCCAGCTTTGCAGCAACATCCATAAGGGTAAATGACAATGCCTCATCATTCCAGGCAGAGGCAGTTGGGAAGGAAGGACATGTGGTTATACATACAGAAGTAAGGGCAGCCATTGACAATCTACAGCACAGCATGCCCAATGATATATATCTCCTGATCACTGTGCTTACCATAGCGCAGAGGATACTTGGTCAAGTTAAAAGAATCAACTGGGTCCCCAGCCACATAGATATCAGAGGGAAGGAGCTTGCTGACAGACTAGCCGAAATTGGCAGGGGTATGCCTCTAAATCCCATGATCATTCATCCAAGCCAAGAAAAATCTTAAGACATAGGTTCAACACCACAGGACTAGCTACTCTCCAACAGCTACCCCCCTAACGGAAGCCACCTTGCCGCGGTGGGGGGGCTTGAGGTCCCCATGATCTGATGAGCCAGACCAAAGGCTCAGGTCCGTCCTTTGCCCAAGCAAAGAAATCCTGAGCCTGTCCAAAGGAAGCCTGTGGAAACTAGTTCCACAAGTAAACAATCCATAAAAAGGTTTTCCCTAAAGGTGTGGGGCGGACCTTAACCACAGTTGCTGCCAAACACCTTATGAAGTGAACTGGATACCCTAATCCAATGGAATGTCAGGGAATTCATGCAAAATGGGAAGAACTGCAACATCTGATAGCTTCTTGTAATCCAGTTTGTGTATGCCTACAAGAGATTGACCAGGAAAAATCGTCCAATTTCCCTGAGAGGATTCCAAGTTCAAGCCCATTATGGGAGCTTTGATAATGGACCTCATGGAGGAGTAGCAGTGATGGTACGTCAGGATATTCCCTTCCAGGCCATCCACCTGCAGACAACACTGCAGGTGAAGGCTGTGAGAATAGGCTTGACATGACCTTACACTAATGCATCCATCTACCTCCCTCCACCTAATCTTAACATAGATGATTTGGAAGATCTACTTGAGCAGTTGCCTCATCCATTTCTACTCTTGGGAGACTTCAATGGTTGGCATCATCTCTGGGGAGACTTTGTGCAACCCTCGAGGAAGGGCCTTGGAGTCCTTGTTCTCAAGAGTAGATGCACTTCTACTGAACAGTGACGCACCCACACATTTCCAAATTCAAAAAGGGACATTCTCCAATATTGACTTGTCAGTTGGTTCACCTGATTCTCAGTTGAATTTCACCTGGCAGGTCATGGAAGTGACCACTTTCCAATACTTTTGGAAGAGGTGAATGGTATTCCAGCCAATGGAGTGCAGAGATGGCGAATTGAACTGAAATCTTTTTAGATCAACTGCAGTATTGCAAGGAACCGTAAATGACTTCCAGTGTGTTCAAGATGCTGTTAATCACTTCACATCGCGGATTCACTTTGCAGCAGAAGCATCAATTCCCAGAAGTAGCGGGCAGTACCGTCGGCCTCCGGTACCATGGTGGTCTGATGAATGCCAACAAGCTGTCAGAGCAAGAAAAGCTGAATTAAGGCAGTTGAAACGACGCCCAAGCAATGTAACCTTGATCCAGTACAAAAAGACCCGAGCAAAGGCCAGGCGAGTGCTAAAGGAGGCTAGACGGACATCGTGGAGGCAGTAGGTCTCCTTGATTAACTCATGGGTATGGGACAAGG